GAAGTGGGGCCTTAAAAAGCCCTGATCTCTCAGACAGAAGATGAATAGAGATCAGTATAAGATGTACAGTATAAGAAAAATCATAGGCAAGTGTCCCAAATCAAACACACCTGCCATGTTGCGTGACCAACAGGTGCATGCTAAAATACTGACAGTGGATCCTTCAGTTGATTTCTGTCTTCACTTCTACTGTCAGTGAGGTTATGCAAACCTTCCCCGCTGTTTCTGATGAGTCCTGTTGTGACTGCAGAGCTCATTCACGCAGTGAGACCAGAGAGGCTGAGCGGACCGGTTATATGTTGCACGCGAGTGCTAGCAGAGAGGCTGGATTTAGGGCAGATTGTGGAGGACTTTGAGGTGCAGGAGATTCAGACAGGTGTGGCAACAATGTACGGCTTCAACAACTACTGCGTTACCTAGCGACGTATCGTTTGTTTTCTGTGTTCGGTGCAGCTCCTGTAGAGCTTATGTTGTAATGTAACACAGCTCCACAGCAACATACACCACATCCTCCAACATGATCATACAGTTGAATCAACAACTCGCTACAATAATTAATATTAAAACTGCAAGGACTGTTGTATTAGTTTTTAAGCTAGGCGTTCCTAATAAACTGCCAACTGAGTGTATATGTGTAATCATCAGCTGTATGCACAGGCTGCAAAGAGCCTGACTGGAATTTATTGCTTGCTTTCGGTGTTGTTCTCACCTGGAATGGGGCAGTGAAATACCAATGCACATGCACCTGTAGCCTGAAGATTTATTTAATTTAATAGTTTTATCATATGTTATTGTTAACAACGTATTTTTTACCCTTCTCTTCCCCCCTTTTAAAAATGTAAGGCTGTAACATTTACTCAAGAACATTTTAACTGACGTACTTTGTACTTGTATCTGAGTACATGTACTTGTACTTCAGTGTGATTTTTCCGCTCTCTTTCCACTCCTGCTAAAATGTTTGCAAAAGTGAAGGGAACTGTGGTAAAAATTAATTCAGCCACTGAGCTATTTGTGGTACAAAGTAGTTTTCTCCAGGCAATTGAAAAACACAGTGTCTTTTCAGCATGGCTACAAAACAAACAAACAAACAAACAAACAGCAAACAACAACAAAAATCCTGGCTTTCCTTTTAAGTAGTCGGTTGCTTTGCTACGTGCCAAGCTTGCAGGGAGTGTCCAGCCTGCAGGTGGGCAGCACTGTGGGACGTAATGACGTCAGTAGGTCCAGAATGTAAGGCCTGGACCGCAAACAAGGCATTTCATGCAAATGAGAAAGTGCGCTGACAGAGGTCTATCCTTTGTAGACCACTTACATGCACAAAAAGCTATTACACACTTTAGGAAAGTGAAAACTCGGCAAAGCATGACAGGTCCTCTTTAAAAAAAGGCTCACATATTTTAAGAAGATGGCTCATTCGCATTGGCGTTATAAGTCCAGTAAACCTGCTTACCTTCACAGACAGGTAGGTAGTTGCTCCACTGTGGTTTGCCATTCCTGACAGTGCAGTAGAATTTTGTCGCTGCCGACCAGCTGGTATCCTCTCTCTGCACCAGAAAGGTCAGCACGCTGCCGACCGACACGCCTGTGCCACTTTCAACGTAGAAGGAACCCGGCGTGGTGGGAGACAGAGACACAGGACACACCTGAGGAGAGAGGAGACAAAAACAGCAGGTGACTTCATAGGTCAATAGAGAAATTGTGTGTTTTGATAATTTGTAAAAACATCATTGGAAGCCTCGGGTGTGGCCATCTTTTCTTGGAGAAGTGGCGTAATATTCTCGTCTACCTCTCTGCATGAGCGTATATAAGCATATTTCACCATGTGTTCAACCTGTTCCTATTTAGAATAAAAGTTTTATTAGTGTGTAGTTTTTTCATTTTCAGGGGAAACTTCTAAGAAACCACAAAAAATGAGTGCTGTCTTGTAATCTGCTGCAGGTTTTTTGAGTGAATCTGTAACTCTACAGGCAAGTTTATCACCGTAGAAACAGCAGACATGACTTTTCATGGTTACAGAGGCTGCTACCTTCTTCCTTTGTTGTGTCAGTTTCAATGCAAGCTGGGTATAGACCTTGATCTTTTTGGATTTTCTACTAAAAGATTTCTCTGTGTATCATTGTTAATAACTGGTGATTGTGACACCTCCAGAAATAATCCCTGCTTTATTCTGAGAGACATTTACAGCTTCAGAATATCTGGAAGTGAGGTCTCATTGTCATCATTACCATACAGCTGTAACTGTTTAACAATGTCAAAGATTAAAGTGTCTCGTCTCCCTCCCCCTTGTCCCTCCTTGCATCTTTCTTCTTTTCTATCCCACCCTTTCCTCTCTTTTGTTTTTTGTTTCTTCTCTTCCGCTTTCTTGTCAAACAGACTCAGCGTGGGCCAGAGTCTCTGTTCTGAGATTAGAAGTTACACTGGATAGACAGAGAGAGAGAGAAGGGACAGAAAGAAACTTTTTTATCTTCCTCATGCTACAATACGCAAATACCTCCGAAGGTCTCGTGATAAGCAGCTATTGTTAGATTTCTGCTGCAGGGATTTTTGAGGCTCTCAGGAAATCGCATGTAACCTACAGCATCGCTAGGTGCGCAAGCATCCCATATTTTTTGAGAGAACTTTAGTGGGATATAGGTGAGGGTTAATTCTGCGCCTTATCACTAAATTACGCATATCTGTGGGGTATGACAGGGTCATTGATCAGTGCTGATGACTCCAGCTGTTGAGATTTCTGGCTTTTAAAACTCACTTTACTGAATCATTGCTCTATTAGTAAGTGCAAATTATTATATGTTACTATATGTTGTGTAAGATGGCATCTTCACTTGAATCACTAACAGAAGCAAACATTCGGTAAAAAATGAGACCAGTCAGGCACAGCTTAAGCTACAGTTTGGCAACAATACAAACATTTCCACATTGGTAACATTGATGTGGCAGATGTGTGAGTAGCATAGACTGTAAATAAAGATGGACGTAGCCTCCGTGACATCACCACACAAGGTTTCTGAAACGAACGGGTTTAAGCTCAGAGTGAGCTGCTCCACATCGCCATCTTGGCAGTGTCTGACTCTGCCCCTAACTCTGGCTAATCCAAAAATGGGCAAGAAGTGGGGCGTGTGTGGAAGCTGAGACGGGTGCAACCATACACTCACACCACACTGTCACCTGTGGCCACGCCCTCAATTATGCAAAATGTAAGGACTTCATAATATGTAAACCAGGTGAGTTATATATAATTCCCCTGTACATGTTGCCATGAAGGTGGAAATTAACTACAGAGACCAAAACTGATTTTGTACCAGGCTGTAAATTTGTTTTTTTCTGCTGTAAAGTTGGACATTTTAACATGGAGTCTTGGGGGATTGACTTGCTTTTGGAGCCGGACTTTAGTGGCAATTTTGAAGAACTGCAATTTTTGGCACTTGTTGGCCTAATTTTTTCAGACCCGTGATGTTGCACTTAGTTAACAACAGTAGCTGTATTACACACCCAGCAATTACATATGGTATCGAATTAGGCATTTATTTTGAGTCGTGTTTCTGGTCACCAAACCAATGTGATTCTCTTCTTTGAGCCCTGGTTTAGTCTCCACCAACCTCCTCTTTGGCTGCTAAATGCTCCACTTATGTTCACCAGCTGGCTGCTAAGTTTTGTCTGTGAGCTACTTGTTGCTGAGCAGATACTGTACAATGGGTACAAAACAGTGAAGGTGTGAGCCATAAAATAAAAAACAATGACCTGATAATAATTGACCTGATCTTTTTTGTGGGTTTGACACTATGAGAAACTCCTTCACATTTTACATAGTCATTATTCCATTTTTTAATATAGAAAAATGATAAGAGTGCTATAAAATTTTAAAATGACTTTGAAATCGCTTTGAAAAGAGATGCACACGATAAAACAAAATTACAGCATGGTGTTTAATGAGTATTGGCTAGAAGGGCATGTGATGCTGTGGTTTGCTTTTGCTGTGTCACTATTAGTGTAATCTTTGTGTGTGTGTGTGTGTGTGTGTGTGGTGTGTGTGTGGTGAGAGAGAGTGAGAGAGCAAAAGAGCGAGAGAGAGAGACATGTCATCCTGGTATAAAACCTGTGAACATGCAAGCTTGCTCTCTGCTGATTAGTAGCGACAGATGGGTGGATTTCTGCAGCGGTAAAAACAGAGAGGGAGAGGATCCCGTGATCCGTGTAAAGAATGACAGCATCCTCTCTCTCCACACACACATACACACACATGTAAGCATCCAGGCACACACAGCAGACACGT